GGTTTCTGATGGCTAAAATAACTTGAACATTCATTAGAATAGCATATGGTGTGGGGGAAGATACTTGAGTTTTGAAGTGTGCCAACCCAAGTGCACCCATGGAAAACTGGTAATAATTTGAATTCCTCATGGAGCTAATGCCAAGAACATAACTGTATAAAGAAATCTGCAGGTACTACATGAAGTCTTGCATGTACAGACTGCTTTTTTATGAAAGAAAAGGTATTTTTGTTGGAAGATTGGAGAAGTGGAGACTCATTTATGCATTCCCTGTTTAGTAGCAAAACAAACAAAAAAAAACCTGCATTGCATCTGCAATGCAAAAAAAAAAAAAAAAAAAAAAAAGAGTACTAGAAAGTTTTATTTATTTAAAAGCAAAGGTTAAAGGTTAAAGTTATTTCCATGTATATTCACTAGTAAATATGTAAGTCTGCTTATTTACATTGAGCGGTTGATTTCTGACTTAGTTTCTGTTAAATTGTTTTCCTTTTTTTTATCAACAGATGTGCCTTAGAAGTCTATTAGTTAGTAGTTTGGTTTGTTTTTTGTTGGACTTTTTTTTTCCACAGTAAACATTCTTTTGTTGCTAGCGTTGGTTCCCACAACAAATTCAGAAATCATGTCAAGTAAGCTTTATTAGATTAAGCTCATAATTCTGCCATCTGAGACTGTTGTAAGTAAGGTATTGAGAAAAGAAGGATTGAAATCTTCTAGGCATGGAGTGCATATTTTGTCAGAGGTTCCAATTGAAATGTTGGATATCTACTACTGTTCTTTGTGTGCAATTTAGGGTGGATGTATGCAAAATAGCTTAATCACAAAGCTAATAAAAGCATGTAGATACAAACTGTGTGACTGAAGCTGTAGTCATGAATAGTGGCCTTGAATTTAAAAATTAAAATTAAAATTAAAAAAATAGTCCTAATGTACCAACAGCATGCTGCTACAATATACACTTCCATAATACAGAAGAGCAGAAAAAGTTTGATATGATAAGCAGAAGAAATATCTTACCTCTTGTAAGTATCTAGATAGTAGATTTTTATTCCTTTTCCATGCTGATATATTTGTTGTTACATGAAAGATAACTTTTATGGTATTAGTTAAAAAAATCTCATCTCTTCAGAAGCCAAACATTCATTTTTCAAAATTTTTTCTTTGAAATTGGTCTGGAAGTTTCTTTTGATAACGGACACTTTAAAATAAATTGATTTTTCTAAGGGTAAAGTAACTTCATTCTATAAACCCTATAGGCCCTTCAGAGGGACAGACAGGGTAGGAAGGGAGAGGGAGTTGTCCTTTATGTTAGGAAGTGGATAGACTGTGAAGAGCTGTGTCTGAGTAACAGCCTTGACCAGGTTGAGAGTGTATGGGTTAAAATCAGGGATTGGTCCAGTAAAGGACATCTAGTGGCTGGAATCTACTACTGGCCACCTGATCAAGGGGAGCCTTTGACAAGGCCTTCTTCAACTCCAGAAAGTGCTGCGCTCACAGGCTCTTGTTCTTATGGGGGATTTCAGCCACCCGAATATCTGCTGGGGTAGTGGCATGGCAGGTGGTAGACAATCCAGGAGATTCTTGGAGTCTGTTGAGGATAACTTCCTGGTCCAGGTACTACACGAACTGACCTGGGATAAGGCCTTACTGGACCTGGTGCTTACTAATGCAGAGGAGAATATTAGAGATGTTAAGACTGGAGGCAGCCTGGGCTGTAAGTGATCATGCCCTGGTGGAATTTGTGATCTGGAGGAGTGCAGGCCTGACGGAAAGTAGAGTCAGAGCCCTGAACTTCAGGAGGCAAGCTTCCAGCTGCTCAAGAAACTGCTGGATAGGATCTCTTGGGAAGCTGGCCTTTAGGGCATGGGAACAAACAGAACTAGCAGCTATTTAAGGACATCCTTCTGTGAGTGCAAGAGCTCTCCATCCTCCAGCAGAAGAAATTGTGCAGAGGAGGTGGGCAACCAGGACCTTCAGCTTTAATTGAGGGAAAAGAAGGAAATGTATGGGAAGTGGAAGCAGTGTTGTGTAGCCTGGGAAGAATACAGGGATGTTGTCTGCATATGTAGAGATGAGATCAGAAAAGCCAAGGCACAGCTGGAGCTGAACTTGGTAAATGATCTGAAAAATAACAAGGGGTTCTATGGGTACATAGACAGGAGGAGACAGACCAAGGAGGGTGTTCCACCTCTGATAAATGAGAGTGAAGGACTGGCTTCATTAGACATGGAAAATGCTGAGGTGCTCTGCGAGTGCTTTGCCTCGGTCTTCACTGGTGATTAGGCTCCTCATGTCTGCCAGGACCCTGAACCTCTAGATCTGGGTGAGAGTGGTGTATTCCATCCTAGTGTTACAGTGGAAAAAATCCAAGAACTCCTCGTGAAACTTAATATACATAAGTCCATGGGGCCAGATGAAATACATCTCAGGGTTCTAAGAGAGATGGCAGATGTGGTTGCCAAGCTGCTTGCCGTCGTATTTGAAAAATCATGGCTATCGGGTGAAATCCCCAGTGACTGAGCAAAAGGAAACATTCTTCCTTTCTTAAAAATGAGAGTAAAGGATGATCTGGGGAACTACAGGCTGGTGAGCCTCACCTCAGTGCCTGGAAAGATCGTGGAAAAGATTCTTGTGGTTACCTGTTAAGGCACATAAAAGGTAAAAAGGTGATCCACAACAGCCAGCATGGCTTCACCAAGGACAGATCTTGCCTGACCAATTTAGTGGCCTTCTATTATGGAGTGACAGCATTGGTGGAAAGGAAAGATGTCATCTATGTGGAATTCTGCAAAGCTTTTGACATGGTCCCTCACCACATCCTTCTCTATAAATTGCAGAAGAACGGATTTGAAAGATGGACTGTTTGATGAATTAAGAACTCGTTGGCTGGTCACAGCCGAAGGGTTGTGATCAGTGATTTTATGTCAGAGTGGAGGCTGGTCACAAGTTATGTCCCTCAAGGCTTGGTCCTGGGACCAGTGTTCTTGGACATCTTCATCAATGACATAGACAATGGAGCTGAGTACACTCTCAGCAAGTTTACAGATGATACCAAGCTGAGCAGTGCAGTTGATATACTGGATGGAAGGGAAGCCATCCAAAGGGACCTGGTCAGGCTGGAGAAGTGGGCCCATGTGAACATAATGAGGTTCAACAAGTGCAAAGTGTTACACTTGGACCAGCAAAATCCCAGGTATTTATATAGACTGGGAGAAGATCTTAAGAGCAGCCTTGTGAAGAAGGACTTGAGGATCCTGGTGGATGAGAAGCTGAACATGAATCAGCAGTGTGCACTGGCAGCCTGGGAGGCTAACTATATCCTGGACTGCATTAAAAACTGGGTGGCCAGCATCCAGAGGGAGGTGATTTTTCCTCATCTCTTGTGATGCCCTGTCTGGAGTATTGCATCCAGGCCTGGGGCCCCCAGCACAAGAAAAATGCAGAGCTCTTGAAACTGGTCCAGAGGAGGGCCACTAAGATAATCAGAGAGCTGGAGCATCTCTGAAGAAAGGTTGAGGAAACTGGCCTTGTTTAGCTTGGAGAAGAGAAAGCCCTGGAAGAGCTCTCAGTGGCCTTCCAGTACTTGGAGGGAGCACATAAGCAGGAGGGGAAATGACTGTTTACAGGGGTTGATAGTGATAGGACAAGGAGGAATGTTTTTAAACTAAGACAGGAGAGATTTAAGCTAGATATTAGGAGGAAGATTTTCACCCAGAGGGTGGTGATGCACTGGAGCAGGATGCCCAGAGAGATTGTGAATGCCCCATCCCTGGAGTCATTCAAGACATGGCTGGATGTGTCTTTGGGCAGCCTGGTCTAGTGGTTGGTGACCCTGCCCACAGTGGGGTTGAAACCAGGTGATCTCTGAGATTCTTTTCAACCCAGGCCATTCTATGATTCTATAATATGTCAATTTCCACAGCTGTAATTCTGAAACTGGGCCTTAACTGTTATATAGTGTTTTGTACGTGAAGGGTATAAATTAAGTCCTCAAATAAATAGGTTATTAACTAGATTTTAACTAAGTTGTGCACTGTTACACCTCCAAGAATACGTGTTTTGGAAGCAAAATCATAAGAGGTTATCGTGAAGAGATGCCAATAAAATGTTGAGGCTGAATAGGGCGAGACAATTATTTGCTAATACTATGCACACTAACATAATGATTCCATGACTTTCTTGGCTTTATAATCTAATCTGACCAGAATTTATCTGTTTTCCAATGATAAATGTGTGGCAAGTATCATCTGTTAGTGTTTTCCTTCAAGTAGAATTCATTACTTCACTAGTTGAGATATGAAGGTTCTCACTTCAGGCAAATGAGAGCCTCATGTTGGACTGTCCTCTAGGAAGTTTGATTGAAATGCTTGGAGGTGCCACTGGTGAAATAAAAAATAAAAATATATCTTCACCCTCCAAGTAAAGAAAAAGCTGAAGACGGTACTGTGGGAACTTGGTCCTAAGAAGTACAGATGATTCTTGCAGAGGATCAGTGACACTTATTTTAAGACTAATGTAAAGGAAGTAGAAAATTTTTAGAATGGAAAATCAGAGGCTTGAGAAGTTAGAAAGAACCTTGTTCGTTTGAAACTTTCCAGAGTCAACAACCACAGGGCAAGGTATTTCAAAGTTGTACAAGGATCAAGAAAAGAGATTTCCACCAGTTACCAGAGAGAACATTAATGAAGCTTTTATGCAGAATGAAGTCAGAACGTGTCCATCTGAGAAGACTTTGGGTCACACTGAAGTGCTAGAATGCACTGCTTTTGTCCAAAATAGGCTTAGCTAGATTGAGAACTGTACATAACAAGAAGTACTTCTGGGACAACTCAGATAGTTAGAAAATTCTACCTCAAAGTACACAAAATTCTGTTGTAAATTCTTTAATTCATTAAAGACTTTATTTGAAGGGTCGGAGTTGCAAATACCAGTGTAAGACAAAGGGAATTTCACATAGCTTAGGGGTAGTTCCTAATAGTTTTTTATTTCTGATTTTGTTTTAGTGAGTGTCAGTCTGCTATATCTGATCTACAATGAATGCCAAATCTGCAATCAACAAAGAAATTTTTGCCCCACATGATGAAAGGATGCTGGGAGCTGTCCAAGTTAAAAGAAGAACGAAAAAAAAGATTCCTTTCCTTGCTACTGGGGGTCAGGGTGAATATTTAACATACATCTGCCTGTCAGGTAAGATTAAAGATTTTGACATCCAGTTGTCTGTTTTAGTTTATCTTCAATTAATTGATTACATGTTACCCATAGCTGTGCAGTGCTGGCTGACTTGAATCTTAGTAATGTAAGCAGAGAATAATAGTATTCGGAACGCAGGCTATTAATATTTGTGCTGCATAATAAATAGATTAGGTGTTTTCTTTGTTTAAAAAAATATTCTCTTACAGCATAACTGCAGTTTATGAAGAAAGAACATTTGGAAAAAATCTTTTCCTATCAGGCTTAAGATATTTCTTGGAGGGATAAAATTTGTGTTGTACCTGCTTTTTAAGCCCCGAAATTTCTGATTTGAAGCAAATATATTTTCCTCTTATTTTCATAATTATATCTGTGTCACTGGGTCCTTAAAAATGAAACTTTCATCCATTATATTTTTAGCTTGTTGACATACAGAACCTCTGTTGGTCTTCAGTCACTTGACTTTAAAAAAGTGAAGAAAGAAATAGATGCTTTGAAGGAGAAAATGATGTAAAGACCTGTTTTGAGACATCACAGGTTACAGGGAGTAATGACTTATTTGTCAGTAAGCTGTTCACGTGAATCATGAGTTTCTCCAAGGTCGAAACAGTACTAGTGAGAGTCTGAATTTCAATTTTGTAGAACAGGCTGGGTAGTAGTTGTATGTTTTGCTACATACTTTTTATATTTTCTAATGAAAGTGGTGTCCAGTTCATTTACTTTAGTATATATAAATAAAACACATTGAATTAAGTCCCCTGTAGTTTTGGTGTCTGCCAATTGAGTTTGTGTGAATATATATGGTACCCTAAGGTGTTGTAGTCATGTTTTTAAGCATCAGTTGCTTCCTTAGAGGGTGTGCACCTTAATAGAGGTAAAATCAGTAGTCAGAGGATAAGTGCTCTGTAAAGATCAGTAGATTACCATTGTGTTTGAAGTAAGCAGAAAATAGAGTTTAACAGACTCTGTCGAATCTTTTTTCACTGCAAATTAAATTAAAACTATCAAAATATAGAATTTATAGCAACCATGGAAATGATGGGTTTTGAAACATGGTGCATAGGTGCAGAATTTATAAGTTGCCAAATAACATTTGTGTATGTATGTAAATATGTAAATAAGCATATATTAAACGTGAGCTGCACAGCATCTGTACACTCATACTGATCACAATTAGGCAAAACAGATTTAATATTTTCTACTTGCCATTTTCCCCCTTTACAATAGTTTAAAGAAAGGGTTGGATTCAGCTAGGATTTTTCCTGGATTTGTGGTTGGGATATCCTCTTAGGATGTATGGATTGGAGGTTTCTATTTCCTCACAAAATGAAGAAAAAAGGAGTTCTAATTTCTGACTTGTTATGGATAAAGGCTCAACTCGTTTTCTTTTTGGTGGTCAGTTTTTAGAATTTTAATTTACTTTTCCTGAGTGGTCTTATTTAAAATAATAATTCTGTTTTAGGGCAGTGCGGACATTCAGAGTGCATACGTAACACATCTGTGTTCATGAGTATAGGTTAGAGGCATGAGTTATGCTCACAGTATTATGTAGGTGAATTCTATTCATCTGATTGTTGGTTTTTTAATTTATTTTATCTTTTTACCATTCTGAGGAACTTCTCAACTCAGCCATCCCCATGTTCATGTGTAGCAGCCAAAATGAAAAATGTACATTAAAGATGTTAAATGATCTGGGATGCATCTAGTGTCTTTCTGCAACAGGATAATGTGTCATGAGTAAGAGAAATAGCAGAGGTCTTGATTTCAGCATAGCTTCTCATTAATGACAATGAGAAGTATTTATAGTTTAAATAAAGTTACTGTGTGTTGGGTACTGGAAATCTGCATTATTATATTAGGAGAGTTATATGTGCCATGCTGTTAGTAATGTTCTGCAGTAGTATGAAACAGATTTTTATTAAGTATCATAGTAGTCTATGGTATCAAACATATTGTATGATTGGGAATTTCAGTAGATGACAACAAGAGACTGCGTCTACCACGCTGTACTCACGTTTGAGGGCAGATTTATAATTCTAACATGATCAAAAACATGATCAAATGCAATAGGATTGCAGGCACAGTTAGTCAAGAGTAATTGATGACACAAAACTAAAGGGTAGGTAGTAACTGTTTCTGCCACTATTATTAAAGGAAATTGAACTAATAATGATCTTAAATTATTGTTTTAATTAATTAATGTTTTAATTTATAAGTTACTGTATGAATGGCAGTTCTGCTGTATCCACAGCCAAACATGAATTTTATCTTGGGGTTGCTGAATGTACTAATATAGTCTGTTACCATCCATTTTTCTGTGATTTATTATTAAGTGTGAGAAGCATTGGTGGAGAGCTCTGAATGTTAGTTTCCACTTAAAATGAGTGTTGCTGAGTGTTGCAACACTAGTTTTAGAAACAAATCTGTAAGCCTTTCACTCTTGTCCAATTTTTTTTCCCCCAGGTTTCTGTATATTAGGTAAATATAGTTAGTGACTAAAATATCTTCGTGTTCTTAGTTTCCTTAAACCGATTCAATCTGTCTTTTGCTAAGGGAAATTTGATAAAGTTTAAGGCTGAATTCATCAGTTGAAAGAATCTGCTTAAAAACGAACTTGTTAAGATGACACAAAAGATAATAAAATAGTCACTACCAAGGAGCTGTCAGTTCTACAAATTGCGTGGCAGCCTGGGCTCACCTGAATAAGATGCATTTTAACACAGTAGAGCACTTAAACATTTAATTAATAAATGTTTGGGAATACAAATGTGTCTTGCCTAGTTATAGTTTAATTCAAGATTGAGTGCGGAAATCTAGATACCTGACATTGTAATATCTGCTTTTACTTTCTACTGAGTTTGTAACTGAAAAATTACACAGTTTTTTATAATTTAGTTGTTTTGTTTTATGTGTTGGATTGAAAAAGCATTACAACATAATTGTTGTCTACCTGCTTTTTTGTAAATGAGGGCAGAGATCCTGAGCAGGGACAGTGTACCACTCTCACCTTTAGGATTCCAAGATAACATAGCTGGTGTACTGAAGCATTAAAATAATCAAATGCTTAACAGAGCGAAGTGGGCAAGTAAGGGAGGTTCTTCCTTCAAAATTACATTTGTTGTATATACTGGAGTTTGAATTTGAATTGGTTAGAAGGAAGTACTCATTAATACTCCAAAGAGGTGTACCTGCAACCTTCATGCCCTTTGTATTTACATGGCTGACAAAGACAGATGGGCAAGCATAGCCCAGGGAGATCCTAATGGAGTTATTTAGCTAAAGAACTGCAAGCAAGGAGTAGACAAATAAGAAAAACAAAGGTGAGGTGTGGTTGTAGGCAGAACAGAGAATATAAAAACTGGAATTATCATTATTATTATTAAATGTAGGAAATTATTTGATATAGAGAAAAGGCAAAAAATTCAGAGCTGAAAGTGAGAATTTATCACCTCCTCCACACTAGGAGACCTACTAACAGTTATTGGATCAGATTTAAGTTTTCATTTTATAATCATTGTCTCATAATTCAAACAAATCTGTTTAGAAGAGCTCTCAAACTTATTTGGAATGTTATCTGAATTATGAAATACTTAAAAAGTCACTTCAGAGGTATAGGACGTAGGCAATAATTTCTGAAACTAGTTCTGTGTTATTTCCTTTGACGTGATATCATTATGATTTCTTAGTAACTTTGAATATTAAAAGGGGTTTTAATTTGTTATAATGCATTGGAAATTTTCCAGTTTGTACATATGGAATTGACATCGACCTTTCCAGAACAGAAAGTATGTTGCAGTTGCAAGTCACTGAATGAATCAGATGGTTCCTTCTGAACCTGAATTCTTATGTGCCATAACTCTTAGCTGCACCATTCTCTTTCTCATCCTCCTTGTTAAAATGTTGGAATTTGTGTGTAAATATTAAAAGATAATATTGTTTAAAACTTAGGGTGGAAACTTTCTTTTTTGTTGTTGTTGTTACTGTTCCTCTCTTTACTGTCTCCGAATTAAATTAACATGCTGTCAGTTCAAGGATTTATTTATTTTTAGTGACTTCTATGTGAAACTGCAATTTTCTGAGAATGATGAAAGAAAATCTGAAAGGAAATGGGGGGAGAAGAGGGAAAGGCATATAAAAGAGTATACAAAAATTAGGTGTACATGCAGGGGAAGAGCATATTTATTTTCTCTACTTTCACTAAAATGTAACCTTATTGACCACATCACGTTTTTTCTCAAACAAAAAGTTAATAAGCTTTAAAAGAGATTTGTAGTTACCACAGTGTGTGGGGGTGGATTTTTCCCTTCTCCTGCTTCAGAGTATACAGAGAGACAGAGATATAACTTGTTATCTTAATTAGTTCTATGAATACCCTCTGTATTGGGCTCTCAGAACACACTTCAGCTAAAATCTAACCACACCACTTGGTTTCATTTTCAATAATAGCTTCATATTCTGTTTTTGTCTCCAGCCAGTGGTGCCATAAAGTTGTTTTTCAAACATAAACTTGTTATTCCTTTCAAATTGACTGCTTGTGGAATGGAAAGTTACTTGAAAATGACATATATCCCTCCTTCCTTTGAAGGTAAGTTAATGTGGCTGCCAGAAATTGGCCATAATTTAATTGGAAATTCCAGGGCAGGTTTTGTGCAATTGATTTTTCAGTGTGGTACTTGAGGTGAAAATTGAAAAGTAGTGATAAGGCATTTTTGATTAAAATAACTCACTTTCTTATGTGTTCTCACTTGTCATGTCAGTTTTGATCCCGTGCTGAAGTTACCATTTCCTAATTTATTTCTTTAATTTTTCCTTTTCCCATTTTCAGGATCTTATAATGAAGAGAATTCTCAAGGTTTCTTTTTGTTAGGATTCAGGAAATGAAAGTAAATTTCATTTTTCCACTCCTTTTCCAGGAGAATTTTGTAGGTACTTTGTCATATGTTGTAAAGAGTTGTTATTGGTTATTTTTCTAGGGTTATTTTCTCTCTGTTTAAAAA